TATGACAGCATCTAATGGACAGAAAAGAGCAGCAGCAATGGTATTTGCCAAATCCTTGATTTTCACTATGCGCAGGATGCAACAAACTAAATACAAAGAAATGGCAGCGCCAATTTGTATCCCCTGGATTTACAAAGCTAGCAAAAGTTAAATAAGAGCATGTTGCATTCTTGTATTATAAAAGAAGCAAAAAGGGTATGTTTCCATACTTCAACAGCTTTTCTTGTAAGAGAAGGAAGAAGCAATGGAAATATCAAAAGCTGCAAGATGTTATCTGTAATTAACCTCCCAACATCAGGAATTCCTGCAGAAACAACATCACTAAAATAGTAGAGACTGTCCTCAATCTCATCAACAGCGGCAGAAATTAATGTGGTTGTCTCTGCAGATTCAGCACCCAGATTTCTGTCTCAAAATTCAAATGAAACTTTTTAGAGAAAATGAATGGAGCCTGCTATGGTAAAATTAGAATGATGCCATCACTCTTACTTCATAGTGTCAGAAACCAATGCATTTAGATTGATGCACTGCTTTCGGAAAAATGTAACCAGGTTTGAAAAATAATCTGCATGAGGGGCACTGGTGACATATCTATTGACAGACTCATCTCCAACTGAAAATCAGAACAAATTTTTACGTATCAAAATAAGTTGCAGTGAACAGGGTAACACTTTTGAGTTGTGTGTGTCTTAAGTTTATTAAGCAGAGATGAAACTCACCATGATAAACATTAAGCGTCAAAGCCCGTATGGCAGTGCGGACCATGCTCTCCTCATGAAAGGCAAAATGTATTGCCTCAACATAGAGGGGAAATGAAACCACTTCATCCTAGATGCAGAAATAAAAAGAGAGATATACAGGAAAATTAGCAATTAAAGAGATTAACTAATCAATGAAGCCTTTACATACAAAATTTAGAAGTTATAGACGATAGGCAAGCAATGTGAAAAATTTAAGGCAGGACAAGTAAATCATAATCCTCAATTCCTCATACTGTGTCTGCCTGAATGTATTTTGTAAAACTGGAGGCTATTTTTAAGGAGTTAAAATGTCAATCTTGGCGCCTAGTGATACAGAAATTGGAAAAGGATCTAGCAATATTCCTTAGATATTTCATGCAACTGCATTCAGGTAATCACTAGCTATGAAACCACATACATAAAAAGTTTAAAGTGAATTCCATTTGAAAGATAATTGTAAGTGCCATAAACACAATAAAAGAGAAGAAAAAAAAAATTACTTACATTGTGAGTCTTTACAAGCAAAGAAATTGTATTCCTGTCTAGCTTTCCACTTATTGCTCTTCACAGCCCATTCCGCACAAACATAGCAACCAAACATGTCAGAAAAAGTACTAGTTGCAGAGAACTTGTATATAGGGTGATCATCAATTATCATAAGGACAACAAAGAAACCAAAAACAAACCTTAAGAAGGATATGTAGTATGACAGTAGTTCTTCATTTTGGAAATCAAACGAATAAGTTATCAAGTAGTTCATATGTTCATTACTGAACATGTAGTCTGCAAAAAAATTAATTGGTCACACCACCAAATCCATCAACATGGTTATAACCAACTGGAGCAGCTAAAGCAACTGCAAATTTATTGGTATCTTTCTTCAGAAACAACTTACATATAGCATGTTCATTTTTTAGGTTCTGGATCATAATGCTGATTGTTTGCAGCAACTGAAGTGAAACACTCACAGTTCTGCTAACCTTCAATATTCGTACAAACTCTCCCATGACTTGCTTCTCCATGAAAAATCTGGAAAATTCACAGGACAATGTGAAAAAAGTACCAGTAAAACATACATCAAGCAACACTAAGTATTGAGAAGTCTTACTCGAAAAAGGTCGAGTCATGCTGGTCCCCATATGTTATCAACTCCGCAATTGATCTCAGCGCTTCAATAACGAAATCCTTTATAACAGACTAAATGTTGGTACATTGAGAAAACAATTTCAATAACAGAATTCAGCTGAAAGAGGAAGAAGATTGACTCTAATTACCTTGTTCACTTCATTCACAATCTGGACTTTTACCAGCTGGTCAGTTAAATACCTACTCCAATAAGACAAATGTTGATTAACAAACATATCTATAACAAATATTTAATGCCAAAACATCACATAACATGTGTTTAAATCAAGGTCCAAAACACCATCAGTCCTCTAATGAACCAATGCTCCTGAATGACACAGAAAGAAATTATGCACCAATAGAACTTCAGGATTGGAAAAACTGTGACTAAAAAAAGGTTCTTTGTTTTTTATAAGAGACCAAAAAAAGGCATCTTCAGAATCGGATGTTAGGTACCATCAATGTATTAGAAAAGCACAAGTATTGTAACCAGATAGATACAAAGGGATTCTTATAATTACGAAGCGGAGTTTTCGATAATACAGCTAACGTTTAATAGTTATTTTTTTTTAATAGATTATTATTATTATTTTTTAATAGACTAAGGTTTAATCCTTTTCTATGGGTATATCCCTACCACATGGTATCTAATTATTTCAAGATCCGGCATGTCTGTACCTTGTCTTATTCTAACTCCACAAGTATGAGTATCTCAATGGTCCATGGGATCACACATGGACCATTGAGATACTCATTTAACGACATTATTCATCCATGTGGCTCAGAAAAATGGCTCATTTAAGGACCCCATTTGAGTGAATGCTAGTAAAAATGATCTCATTTAAAGGATGTCATTTGTCTGATAAACACTGAAATTATGATCATAGCTAAACAATTTCCGTTTTATTTTATTTTTTAAGGGATGATTATTAAAGAGACCTAAAAAGTTAAAGGGTTTGAAAACGGACCACATTGTGAGGTTGGCCTGAGCACCTCCTGGTCCTCAAGTTGCTTTGCCAGTGACCATAAATCATCCAACAGGTAATAAGAAGTAATCTTCTAAAGGAGAATATTAAACCCTTGTTCCTTTCCTGTCTAGTTTTTTATTTGACAAAAGATGAAATCCTTTTCCACCCTTACTGATTTCAAGCTCTAGCCAGTTAATTGTACGCCTTTTGTAAATCGTCATGAACTCCTCCCAATCAAGATAAATCTTCACCATGCTAGTCCTAGAGCAAGCAGCAGGCTTCTTTGTGGCTCTTTAAAACATGCATTTCAACTAGCTTCCCACCTTATTATCTTTACAACACCAGCAGAGACCCAAGTGGTTAAAATTGTGCGTTCTCCAAAATTCAAATTTTTCCACAGATCATTCAAGCCAGTCCAGCTTCCCCTTCATGTACAACAATTTTTTTTTTTTTTTTTTTTTTTTTTTTTTTTTAAAAAACGATAGTCTAAACTACAAGGAGGAGGGGGGGTTCACACACACACTCTACCAAGGTGCCATGGGGGTTCGAACCCCCGTTGGCCCTTCATGTACACAACATGATTCCACAACCTTGATTGAAACCCTTTCTGCATCCTCTATCAATCACAGTCCAAAGGTAGTGTCTCTAACACTCTTTTTACTTATGTCAAGCTGGCTTCCTACTTCTCAGTTCGAATATTTGGCATCTAAATTTCCCTCAGACAATAGCATCCTCTATTAAAAACTACAAAACAAACAATGTTGTCACCGGCAACAGAAAGTTCTTTACTTATTTTGGCATACAGAACTTGTATCCACTTAAGTTCTTTACCCTTCACACTAATTTTACTTCTAGGAATGCTAAACTAACTAATTTCTATTTCCCTATCTTCCCACCACTATCTCAGAAATCAAACATAAACATAAAAACAAAAAGAATCGTCTTTGTACCATACTTAGACTTCTACATACAAATTAACTCTGCAAGTCCAAATTATAATCTAAAATGTAAAAATTTCAGTCACAATATAATCAAATTCATCAAAGTGACCATGCAGTAGCCTGTAATTACCCTAGTTAAGCATTAACACCAACTTAATTATAAGAAAACCAACGAAAAACTCAAAATTGGAGTTAAATTGAGCTTGAATTCAATATGGGGTACACAAACCTGAGCTCGTCTAAGGAGAACCGATCCCTGGGCTTCCAAAACGAAAACCACATGATTTGTTTTCCGAATCGTTCAGATTAGAGCACACTATTGGAATTCATTCCGACAGGGATTTCGAAGATCGACCGCGAAAGGCAGCGCTATATACACCATCGAAGTTCTCCGAGCAGCTTCGGAAGATGTGTTTGATTTTGATCAGGAGACGGAAAGAAACAGAAATTTTGCCAGAAAGGCAAGAAGGCCTTTCATGCTTGCGGAGCTGGCAACAGTGGGTCACAGTATTTTGGGCCGGGTTGAAGTTCTTTTGGGCATGGCTATGGGTTCATTTGCTAGGATCTTTTGGGCCTGATAAGCAGGGATAAGGGCATGAAAACAACAAGATAAAAGATAAAAAGGAAATAAGATTACATTGCCTAATAAAAATTCTCCACTCCACTTCGACCGAAGACCAGAAAAAAAAAAAAAAAAAAAAAAAAAAGAAAAAACAAAAATAAAAAAAATAAGAGTAATAAAATCATGTATAAATATCATAATCCTATATATAAAGAGTTTAGTGAGAAGGAGAAGATACATCATGGATTCTTCAAGTTCTCTCTTGTTCTCTCCATCCTTCAAATTACTTAACAACACACGAGTTTCGCTCAAAATTTTTTATTCTAGTAATATTGCATCCATAAACTACCAAGTGTTGAATGTGAATAATAACTAATATCGCATATAGCAATTTCACATGTTCATATGATCGGGCGTTAACTAATTTTGTTTCATGGATGGTTGTTGTAAATTCTAATACAAATGCCGACATAGTTTTTTTTTTTTTTTTTTTTTTTATTTTTTTTTTTATATTATATATTTTATTTTTTTTTGGGGTAAAAGGAGTACTTTATAGAAGAACAAACAAAACTGTGAATGGCTACAAACCAAGAGAGGTCAGTCAACAAAACAGTTAACAAAACAAATGAAAGAAAAAACTGAAAGAGAAGACTTAGAAAAGTGCCTAGTTTGATGGGCAAGGTAATCCATCCTTGGAATCAGTTTCCACAATAACATTAGTGAAACCTCGTACATGTGCCAGCTCCAATCCACTCCGGATAGCATGAAATTCCGCTTGCACAACTGATAATGACTGGAAACAATGTGCAATGCCATCAAGCAAAATACCAGTATGATCCCTTATCACAACTCCATCAAAGGTTGCATTCGAAACTTTATCCCAAGCAGCATCGCAGTTTATTTTGACAGTCCCCACTGGAGGATTGACCCACTGATGACTTATCACAGGTGTATTATTGAAATGGTTTCTATTTTCTTTCGAGCTCACAAGTGAGATAAATTCCACAACACTTCTATCCGCCAAGGAGGCCGTGAGTTCTGGCGATGGTGGGCAGGAATTTGAATTGTCATACACCATTGTACAACGAGTTTTCCAAATAGCCCAGCTAGTAAAGGCAAAGTGAGTAATAATCCATCCTTTCTCCTCCAAATTAAAAGTCTCACACAACCGAAGATCAAGAATCCAGCTATCCAGCGAAGTGAAAGCTTGAGGCAGAGGTCTGTAAGCAATACAACTAGCAAACCACACTTTGGCAGCCCGAGGGCAAAGGAAGAGTGTATGCTCAATGGATTCAGGTTGTTCCTTGCAAAAAGGGCAAATGGGAGATTGGCAAAGCTTGCGTTTGAAAAAGATCTCAAAAGTGGGAAGGAAACCATTGACAGAACGCCATAGGAAAATTTTGATTTTAGGGAGTGTTTGGCAATTCCAAATACGAAAGCAGACATTAGAATCAATCACATGAGAAGAGCTTGCCTTCATCACAACCTGATTCTTTTTATGCTTCATGAGATAGTAATATCTAAATTTAACTGAGTATCTCTCATTCATAGTATGTGGCCAAATAAGTCTGTCAGGGAGATCCGAATTGCTGATAGGAATTGCCTTGATTGCTTGGGCATCCCGCGAAGAAATAAACGCTCTGATTTGAGAAAGGTCCCAAGTATGATGATCTTTATCCATCAGCCCAGCAACAACAGTTGGAGTATGTAGGGTCATATTGAGGTAGCCATGTATCAGACCATATATTAATGGTATTGCCATTCATGACTTGCCATCTTGCTCCTTTGATAAGAATCTCACACCCTACCAAAAGGCTATTCCAAGCCCAAGAAGCCCTGCCACTTTTTCCAGCCTCCAAGAAACCACAATGTGGGATAATAAAGACTTTTAAGAACTCTAACCCAAAGTGCAGTGGGGTTCGCAAGAATTCGCCAACATTGCTTATCTAAGAGTGATTTCTTAAAATCGTCTAAGTCTCGGAATCCCAAGCCGCCACAAGACTTTGGTTGCCCAAGGTTAGTCTAATTTCTCCAATGAATTTTATCCCCAGAGTAGGAGGAGCCTCACCAGAAATTAGCCATGATCATGGCAATCTCATAACATAGAGTAGAAGGTAGTTTAAAGCATGTCATTGGGTAGGCAGGTATTACCAAGGCCTTAATCAGAATTTCTTTCCCTGAGAGGGCAATGGTCAAATCCAATGTGACACCCATGTAAAACATGTGCCTCTGGCCAAAGTTGTAACCAATTGTCATTCACCATAGCCCAGTCAAGCCTTTCTTGGATATGGACTACATTATTTCGAAAGCATCACCATGTGTACTTGGGTCTTTGAAAACCCAAATCAGTAAGAGAATTTGCATTCAAAAACTCCAGCATATTATAATGATGATTATGACTGAATGGAAGGCCATCATCTTTCTCATGTTACCATAAAAACTCATTAATAGGATATTGTGACAGTGATTAGAGTGGAAGCCAAGATGACATGAAAAGCACCTCTGACTATGCTTTCTCCTTTGGCAGTGGTGTGTTTTCTTGGACATCAGTCAAGCAGCATAGTGTAGCTCTTTCCACAACATAAGCAGAATATGTTAGTTCAAGTGAAGCAATTACTCAGGCTATATGGTTGAGGTTTGTGCTTGAAGATTTTGGAGAGTTACACACAGAGGCAACTCCACTGATGGTAGACAATACCTATGCCATTGCAATCACCAAAAATCTTGTGTTTCATCAAAAGTGTTGGAATTTATAGGAGGTGAAGGGTGTTGCTCTGATACCACTTGTTGGTTTATGTGTGAAGGGGTTTAGGACAAAAGACAATTACGCCTTATCATTTGGCCCGCGGACTCATGGGCCGATGGGGGCTCGCCAAGCCCATTTAAAAAAAAAGCCCGGCCTGGCCCATTATGGGCTTTGAGATGGCCCGGCCCGCCTTGGGCTGGGCTAGGCTTGGGCTTGGGTGTCTAAAGCCCAACCCGGCCCATAGGCCAGGCTAGATTAAGCCCAAGAAAGCCCGGCCCGGCCCACTCACAAAAGCTCGGCCTGTTAGACCCGCATACATATATAATTATGTATAAATAAGAGTTTATGATTAGGATTATATCACTTAAATCACATATCTAATTTGTTTCATTTCATTTACTTTTCTTTACTCATTCCTAGTTTATAATTGGATGATTAGCACATTAATTTGTGTCAATTATTAATACAACAATTATATATAAAAAATTAAGATGAACAACATATCATATCACCAAATATAATCATATTACGAAACATAATCGTACCACCAAATATAATAATGCTTTTCTTGAACACATCACCAAACATTTGCATATTTATTCATACCATCCTTTCAAAAAAATATTTTTTTGATACTTATTATTTTTAAAAATTATTTCTTAAAACATATTATGGTCTAATTATGTAATAACCTCAAAAATATACTTGGTTTTATTATTTTTGTGGAAAATCTTATTAAGTTGTGTGACTTTATTGGGTGTTTTATGAATTTGGTTTGATGTGAAAATATTGGAATTAAGTGAGTTTAATCTCAAATTTGGACTAAAATGCCCTTATGATTAAGTTTATGATTTTTTTCGAATGAAGTAAGCCCGTTTCGGCCTGACCTGTTGGGTTTAGCCCAACCTGGCCTGATGGGCTTTCTTAAGCCCGACTCATGGGTTGGGCTTGGTGTCACATCCTAGAATCGGCTCCGCCGTAGCACGATATTATCCGCTTTAAGCCCCCCTATCTGCCCTCACGGTTTTGTTTCTGGGAACTCACGAGCAACTTCCCAATGGGTTACCATCCTGGGATTTCTCTGGTCTCAACTCTCTTAACTTCGGAGTTCCCATGACTCCGAAGCCAGTGAGCTCCCAAAAAGCCTCATGCTAGATGGATGTGGGCATGTACATATAAGGGACATCACCTCCTCTCCGTTGGTCGATGTGGGATGTTACAATCCACCCCCCTTAAGGGCCTGACGTCCTCGTCGGCACACTTGCACCACACGGCAGAGTGGCTCTGATATCAAATTGTCACATCCCGAGATCGGCTCCGCCGTAGCACGATATTGTCCGCTTTGGGCCCCCCTCTCTGCCCTCACGGTTTTGTTTCTGGGAACTCACGAGCAACTTCTCAGTAGGTCACCCATCCTGGGATTGCTCTGGCCTCAACTCACTTAACTTCGGAGTTCCCATGACTCCGAAGCCAGTGAGCTCCTAAAAGGCCTCGTGCTAGATGGATGCGAGCATGTACATATAAGGGACATCACCCCCTCTCCGTTGGTCGATGTAGGATGTTACACTTAGGCTTTGAATTTTCTTTAAAAACCCGGCCCGGCCTGGCCCAATATTTTCTCTCTCCTCTTTAAAGTCCGGCCCGGCCCTGCCCATTGATGAGCCCTAGAGACAATAGTTGAAACAAAGTAATTTTATTATATTTGGAGGAGAATAGTACATGGTTTGGTGTAGGCTAATTGGCCTTCTTCATAGCTTATTGGTTTATTGGCGACCACACTTGGTTTAGATTAGTTTTGGGCTATTTGGCCCTTCACTTAGATTGGTGAGCTTTTTGGCTCCCTAACATAGCTAGTTTTGGGTAGCTCATGGCTCCCTTATAGTTTGGAGTTCTTTTCGTTGGACTCCACATAGATCGAGAGTTTGTGGATGACTCCACATTTCATTGTGGTTGCATACCTATGTATAGGCATCTTTGCCGACATCACCAAGTTCCACCGACTTGGTCTCTTACTCCAACCACAAGTGTGTGGCTTTCTAGAATACTCTTCATGGTTGCATGTAATTGCCGACTTTACTCCAGCCACAAGTGTGTGGCTTTCTCTAGATAATTCTCCATAAGTTTAGGCTCATCTCAAGGCTTCTAGATTTCTCCACACATTTCTTTAGCACAAATGTGCATTAATTTCAACAAAAAGACAAAGCACATCAATCGTGAAGCTTTGCAAGAAGGAGTTATAGACTTGAGATACAGCAAGTCAGATAAGCAGATAGCTGATACATTCACAAAAGCACTACCAAGGGATCGATTCAACTATCTGAGAGGGTTGCAAGGGGTTAAACCAGTTGACAATGTAGAAGGGGTTAAACCAGTTGACAATGTAGAAGGGAAAGTTAAAATGTAAATTCTTTACTGGTTTAATCTTTAGCTGGACAAGTGTAGGGCTTAGATTCAATCATGTATTGTAGGACTCATGTCTTAGTTTTGTGCCAAGTGTCTAGCTCATATTGCTGACGCTATTGTAAGGCTGGATTTCATTCCTTTTCCTTGTAATAGGACCTTTCCGTTGGAATGAATCAGTGTGAGAGTGCACTGCAATGATTAGTGCTCAATAACAAACTCTCTCTCTCTCTCTCTCCTCAACGACTCTATTCTTCTCTGCAACGTTTCCTATTTTTCTTCTTCCCCAAAACTAAGCTCTGTTATTGAAATCTCGACACAGATTACCCCCCAATTTTTCTGGCACTTGCCTCACACATTTTTTCCAAAGGCAACTTACTGACTTGTACCCAAAACGTAACAACATAGGGATTGACATCTTCAATGGCCAAACCTTGTGTCACAGTGATTGCCAGAAGGTTGTCCTTAACAATTGAAATTTTTGTCCGAAGATTTCTTTAAAATCCCTCTCACTGCTCCTCTGTTCAAAGGCTTATCAGCGATAAGGACCCCAATAAGGGGGACCCCATTACACATATCAGTGAATTCAAGATTGTCTTCCAAATGGATAACAAGTTATGTTGCGCCGTCTTCAATCGAAAATAGTTGCAGGAAAAAAGCACTAAAAATTTGTATAGATAGACACAATAAAAAAGGCGTGTAGGTAAAACAAGAAAAAGTAAGTAGGGAGAATATGGAGCTTTGTTTTTTTGTGCTTTATTACTAACAGGAAAGATCGACAGGGTAAGAAGAACTAAAAGTGAAAGGGGGTGGGAAAAAGTAAAAGAAAAGGCGGAAGGGGCAAAAGAACAAGAAGGTTAGGTGTTCTTGGAAGTTACCACTCAAAGGGGTATGGAGTTCTCATCTAGAGAGACAGCGACAAAAAAAACTTCAATTCATTCTTGGCACTTGTCGAAAGGCACTTGCGTGAGGAAAATTGCAGGCCGACAATATTGACAATCAGATTCTATTATAATTATGTAATTGTTATTATTTTCAATTGTATTTTGAATCTTATGCCTTGAATTAAGATTCTTTATTGGTCCAAATTGGAATAGTAGATATATAATCTTATGTGATAGCTTCCCTTCATGTTGTCAAGAGTACTTTTTGACTTATAGGCTTTTTGACTTGATGATTTGGTTTTTCTGGACTTTTGAATCAGGAAGTTATATGTGTTACATAGTTTAGTACATGAAGAAGCATGCCTAAGAGTCTAAGACTAAGAGGTAAGACATTCTTTCTAGGATTTTAACCGAGTTTATTTTTGGCTATGTATTCTTTCTCTTTAACTTATTAGAACATTTATGAATGATTTGTATGAATTCTGTGTTATATATCAGGAGAAAGAGTTGTGTATTGTTTTTATAATACATGTCACTCTAAAAGTTGAATAATTGCAAGCATAAATGTTTCTATAATACGTGACTACTCTCCAAATGTGTTATTGGTATCCGATTGAAATATGAGGCCCAACCAGTCCCAGGGTACATTTAGACCTACCAAACGACAAATAGGACTTTAGTACATTTTAATTGGAGAAGTCTGGTCCAGTCCAGCCCACCAAACGATGCCTAATATTCTTGCTTGCTAAATTCACTATGTTAGTTCTATCTACACCATAATCAAGTACTTAGGGTCTTTTGATTTTGTTGCATTCATGTGGTTGTGTAGTGCAAGTTTTAGGGCAAGAGTACTATCCAAGTGGAACAGATATCTGTTGGGTTCATTTTTATACATGATTTATCATGTCATTCACCCAATATTTTGCGTTAGTTCTTGAAAATTTATAGTTTTATACTTCTTTTTTGTGTTTTTATAAGTTTTACCTTGGTAGGAAGAAATATGAGCAAAAAGTGCATTATTGAATATAAATTCTGGTTTTGCTCATTTTCGTAGGTCAATTTCTTGGCTTTGGATCACCATGTTGCAGTACTCGTATGCGGTAAAGTTCTTCAAGAAACTTGTTCCAATGGGTGTCGACTACAACATATCCGAAATTTAGCTCCATGGAACAAGAATAACCTCCCCAACCGATTCAGCATTAATACTAACTCTGAAAGTCTGTTTTGGGTCACTTTTACCTCCCTTTTGGTATCATCTCCCTTTCTAATTGTTACCACACCTCTTGGTAACAATTAATTATTGTAGAGATTTGATTTCAGATTGGTAATAAATTATAATCTCTCCCTATGTATTAAAACCAAAATGAAATTATGAAAGTGGAGACAAGTGGAGCATGTGCCAAAGACTTTAGGCAAAAGGTGGAGTTTAATATTGAAGAATGAGTTGGCAAGAGAGAGAAGGCAGCCAAGAAAGAGGGAAGGGATCGGCTGCCAAGGGGAAGACTGCTACACTTTGAAATAATCTGATTTATGGAGACAGAGGAGAGCAAAGGCAACAACCAAGCAAGAAGTAGAAGAACTCTTCCACCATTGGAGGCTTTTGTGCCTCCATCTCTACAAAATCTGTAAACTCTTTCTAGTTATATTTTGATTTGTGTTTGTAATAAGTATTAGAGTTTGTATAGGAAAATATACTTTCACTTAGTCCCACATTGAAAGGAAGTTGTTTCCTTTTATGGTTTATAAGCACCAACACTCTAGAAATATTAAATAGGGTATGGGCCTAGTAAAGGTAAAGTTGGGCCTCATCTTGGTTTGGGCTTGGAATATATAAATAATTATCAAAAGATGGGGTTTGGGGTTCTTAGGCTCTGTTGATTTAATTAATATTTCTTTTTATTAATTAGAAATTCGTTTTCAGATAAAACCATTATTTGAAATTCAAATATGTTTAAACAGTTATTGTAACTGTTGGATGAAGAGGTATCAGACCTCTATATATTGGTAATTCGTCCAACCCAAAAAATATAGAATTTGGAATAGCATTATCATTCTCACATATAAGTACTTCCTGAGAGAAAGCATATCACCGTTCACCAGAAATCAAAGCCACGATGCTTAGGCTTTGATTTGTGATAGTTTAATCTTGGTAGGCAGACTCTTTTCGAACTACAAGCACAAGTGTAGAGGAGAAATACTGTCTAAAGGACATTGCAACTCTGCAGGACTCTATCATTTATCCAAGTTAGTATTCTGTAATTCATTCTATTGCTGTATTGATTTGATTATATATAGAATATATTTCGTATTATTTTTATTATGTTATTTGGTTATATTCTAATTGTTCTCCAACAGTAAGTATAAGGAACTAAACTCCATAACTAAGGCTTAGGTTAAAGCCCTAAACATGATTACTCTATTGTTTTGATGCTTGAGTTAATGGATTTCTAGATGTTTGATGAATTCTTTTTCACTAAATTAATCACATGCTCTGTGTTTGCTTCATTATATTGATCACCTTGGGTTGTATGTGTCTAGCTAAAGTTGAGAAGTTGTGTAAGATATCCAAGAACATAATTTCTAATTAGTTACAAATGTTTTAATCATTTCTAAGTGAGCATCATGTGAATTGGTTTCTTGACAAAAAATGATGAATTCTTCTTCACTAAAACAATTTATCCTTGATGTATGTTTTTCTTTGATTGATCAACATTGAAAGCATACTTCTCGAGATTGTTGGAATTATATGTACATTCAGGTTTTCCTAAGCAACTAATGGATGAAGTAAGAATCATCCATGTGAATTGGTTTCTTGAACGCCTAATGTAAACATCATGCTATTAGGGTTTTTGTGATGTTCATATTCTTTTCAAACTTAATGGGTTTTTCATATCATTAAATCGAAGTACTAACCAACCCTAAATTGATTTTATGGGAAGCACGAATATTGTAGCACTAAACACGCTCCTTACTTATCGTAGAGAGAATCATGCGTCTTGAGCCACTAAACTTGGTCTTGATTGCGAACATCTTCATCAATACATCTAGAGTTCATAACTTGAATATCCATGAACATGAGTAGGATTGTTTAAGGTGGATTCCGAAAATACTAGCGTTCGCCGTTCATTATCATTTTAATATCACACTTTGATAACCATTTCTATTGATGTTGTTAAAATTAGAGTTCGGTTACATTTAAGCTTTAGAATTAGGTCACTTGAATCAAATCCACCCCTCCCCCCCCCCCCCCCCCCCCCCCCCCCCCCCCCCCTCTCTTTGTATTCGTAGTTTTAAACTTTGAGTGTTCTTTCCACTGAATTCTGCTCACTTTGTTATTTGTTTTTCGACATTTGGTCCTACTGGGTTCTTTATGTTTCCGTATTGAATCCAACCATATAAAGAACCTAAAATTTGGATTAATAGTTTGAAAGTTACAAGTAAAAAAATGGAATAGAGGTCGAAGCTGGAAAACAGAGGAAGTTCATAAATTCGTCTCTGACCTAAAACGAGATAAACGGGTGATATTGTGATGATAATGTGGCGATACAAAAGTGATAAAAAAATGTTGATTGTGTTTTCTTTTGGTTTCTTGTTTTTGTTTCATTTCTCTCACATTTCTTTACTGTTTCCTAGTATTAGATTTGTATCTTACCTTTGTGATTGTGTTAAATAAGTATTCTATACGTACTCAAATTAGATTTACATATAAACCACCAATTCTTCGTGGGAACGATCCCGTATTTACAAATCTATACTCCACCAATAGATGTGTACACTTGCGGGTATTTTTAATTAGATGATTAGCACATTAATTTATACCAATTATTAATACAACAATTTCCTCTCTTTTTTGCGCACATATATATGTGCATTCTGAAATAAAAAATAAAAATATCCTCTCTTTTTTGCGCACAGATATATGTGCATTCTGAAATAAAAAATAAAAAAATTAGGGTTATTTGGGAATGATCTTCTCCACAGCTTCGTTTGATTCAATCAATAATCTGCAGTTGGGATCTAAAGTTGTAGTTGTAAGGGCGTTCGATGGAGTGAATAGCCTGGTACTTACAAAGTCCTAGTGCATCTAAAACTTCATTTTCTAAGGTATGGAATGCGTTCA